ACAGTTTTGTCTACCCTATTAGCTGATTGTTTAAAATTTAACCTAATGTTTTATGAGAGGCAACCCATCAGTTAACCATTCTCCTATGTGCGGCGATTATATTTGGTCTTTTTTTTATTAAATTTATATGTAACAATCAGAATTAAGTAAGTAATTCTATGAGCTACAGCGAGAACATAATCTAAACAAATATTAGGTTGTCAAATATCTCCCTTCCGCCTTTTTGTATTATAAACCAAGAGCAAAAAAGCGGAAGGGAGATATTTGACAACCTAATATATAATGTAAAGTAAAAAAAAAAATAATAATAATAAATAACTAAAACTAAATAATTATCTATAATAATAATAGCAAATAAATAGAAATAATGATCATAAAAATTATAAAAAGAAAAAAAAATATTAATAATAATAATAATAATAATAAATATAATAATAGAATAGAAAACTATTCCATTGATCAGTTAACTAATTAGTTATTTAAATAAATTAATATAAATCATATGAAAATTTCCTCTTCAGCCTTTTAGAATTAGGGATCTCGAGTAGTGCTGAAACTATGTGGTTTGGGTGTGTTTCCAGTTTTAAGTGATGGTGAAGGCTATTACTGCTAATTACATCCACAATATATGGAATGTTAAGATCATTGTGGATAGTTTGGTTGCTGATGAAGCAGGGGGCATCAGCGATTTGTCTCAAAATCATTGGTTGGGCACGTTGTATAAGAACTATATAGCACAACCCCAAAGTTCAATGCCATAAGTATATTAGGTCTATCGTCGAATATTTATGAGTGTAGGTTGCAGCAATTACCACTAAAGCCGATTTTACTAGAAATTATATTTGTGATCTGTAACTTCAAGTGGATATTTCACATTATGCTGCCTGATGTTGAGCTTGGCTGAAACCGAAATTAATAAAATAGTTTTTACAAATTAAGTGAACTAGTCAAATTGTATCAAAATAAAGCTGGTCAAATTCATATTTCACATAGGTGTTGATAGTACTTTTTTAAAACCTAATTGGTGATGCCAACCAGTGTCTGATAGTAGGTAATCAAGCTACAAAATCACTAATCTGCTGACTATAAATATTTAGCAATTAGTAGTAATAGACTTTTTTCAGCAATTAAGTCAACTGGTCAACTAGTCTCGAAAGAGAAGTGGTCAAGGTCAATACTTATTCCTTATAGGTGTTGATAGTACTTTTTTTAAATCCTAATTGTTGATGCCAATAAACCAATTGATGTGGCTGATAGTAAGTTACAAAATCACTTAATTGTTCACTATAAATATCAGACAATTAAATAATAGAATACTATATTTTTTACCAATTAAGTTAACTCGTCAAATTGTCTCAAAAAGAAAGTGGTCAATTCTTATTTCATGTACTTGTTTTAAACTTAATTGTTATGATTTAACAAGCGGGTTATGATGCTACAAAGTCACTCATTTGTAACTTATAATAATAGAAAACTTTATTATTCTCTAATAAACTCAACTGGTTAGGTTGTCTAGGAAGAAAAGTGATCAATTCTTATTTCATATAGATGTTGATAGTACCTTCTTTCAATCCTAATCGTTGTCACCAAATAATGGCTAGCTGTGAATAATGAAACTACAAATTCACTAAATTGTTGACTTCAAGTTCTACAAATCAAGAAACTCATATCGAAAGAAAAGAGAATCTCTCACATTTTCTTCAAATTTTATAAAGGCCTTGAAAAGTGTATATTTAACAATTTATGCCAATTTGTCAACTTGCCACAATCAAAATGCAATCTTATTTCCTTCTGATTTTATATTACGCTAATTGTTAACGCGCACTAATAGTTTATTAATTTGGTAACTAAATTGGCAATTCATTATTTTGTTCTCAATGTATTGCTATTTTATTTGATATTTCCAAATTAGTCAAACTCTTGTCTTGTAAGAAAGGTGATTTTCATTTTGTCGTAGAATTTTTTTCGCCAACTAGTTAGCTGTCGATAGTAATAAAGCGAAAAATTTCCTACAAATATTTGATATTTTGTAATGATAAACCATTTTATATTTTACAATTCAAGTCCTTATTTTATTCGGGTGTTGATAGTGCTTTTTCAAAATCTTAATTGTAAGCACAGCAAGATCCAATTTAGCCGGTTATCAGATACTATAATCAAAATACATAATTGCAATAAAACTCTAATCTAATCACTAAATAAATAATAAATAGTGAAAATAGAGTAAATATATAATGTATGAAACCGAGTACCCTAGTTGGTTAGGTTGGTTAAAATTTAAATGAAAGCCAATTAATTTTTCATCACACAACCACCTGTTCAATGTTTTACTTCAAATATTTAGTTATGGCTTTCAACTATTTAGATAGGCATTTTGTTAGTAACTAGTGAGGCTCAAAATATAATTCCTAATAGAAACTATATCAATTCCATGTAACCAAGTCGTCTCTGCAAGTGTTGTTTGTGAGCAATTGTCACAGCAATGTGTCTCAATAGAAACTGACTATAGAAAAATTAACAGTAAGTTGTCGAACAGAACTGAAAAGAGGATATCATGTCGAGAACGGAACAATTCCTTGTATAATTGTCGCTTTTGTTCGATACTTAACGTGGGTGGTTAACTCGAAAACAGATGTTACATATTTATACAATAATAGAGCTATTAGTTCACCTGAGACTGAAAAAGCTAAATTGCATCAGTTTCCTTAAAGACTTGGGTGGCATAATAACGGAAATAGTTCTTAAGTCATGTACTCATGACCCTAATGATAGTCCCTTAAGTCCACACAAATGTAATAAAAAAGAAAAAGGTTGAACTGCGAAATTGATGAAAATCAAACCGTATGTAATTGTTAAAGTATAAGTGTAATAGATTATTATACTATTATTCAATTTATTACCAGATTATAAAGTAACGTTTATTAATATATATTATTCTTTTCAAAATTGTATATACAAGATTTTAATATAACTATTTTAATAATAAGAAATTGAAATTAACAAGAAATTGAGTTTTGACCCTCGACCCTAAACGCTTTCGTTTAAATTTACGGTAAATCTAGCCGTCTCGTACAATAAAACTTAAAAATGTAAGTTTGTAAGTTAATATTAAATTTTAATAAAATATAATGATTGAATACCATTCTAATTAATAATGAATTATACTTAAGAAGAGGATGATATTTTCCAGACATTTTGGATATACAGTTTTCAGGTGATATTAAAAAAAGTTGTTTCGACAGTTTTATTATTCAAATTGTTAATTCAGTAATGAATTAATAAGATTCTATTAAAATAAAGTTAAAATAAAAACTCGTGTCGACAGTTCTCTCTTCAAAAGTTTTGAATTATGTTATATAACTGATTCTACTCTCCAAAAATTTAAATAAACAAAATATTGTTTGCAGTACTTTTATCTATAAAATAGGATTAGAGAGACAAATTCAAAAACCCAGCCTCATATAAAATTACTCAATAAGGCCTCAATAAGAACATGAGTATTTGCCTCAAATCTTGACCTTTTTTATAAAAAAATACGGTTATTATATAATATAAAAAGTCGTATCATATAAGCTTCGGTTTTTTGTAAAAAATGAAATAAATACGGATATGGAGGTAAAACTTCCAAGAACGGGGTTATTATTTGTTCCAAATGAAGAATAACATGTAATTTATGTGTGTTTGCGGATATTTAAGCATGATGGCTTTAAATTATAGGATTAAAAGAAAAAAGTAATATATATATATATATATATATATATATATATATATATATATATATAGTATATATATAGTATATATACTGATTTGTATGTATAGCTTATTTTATTATTAAACAACCTTTTCTACAGGTAACCAATAATTAACCAATTTATTATGAGGTTTGTATAATGATAAGCACAATTAAAACATATCTGAACAAATACATCATGAAATGGTAAAATTAATAAATTGCGATTAAAATACAGACGCATTTACAAACGTAGTCATAGTCATTCAATAAATTTGTTTATTAAATATTTATTTATGAAAAGTATTACATTTATCATAATTAATTGTGCTTGTTATTTCATTTTTTATTGTACTTAATATATAGTATAATAAATTTAAATTGAAATTGAAATTAATTCAATAAATATATTTTTAATAAAAATATGCAATTAAAATGTAAGTATTTTTGTATCACAAATAAAAAACCAATCAAGCATTTGAGTGAACTCTTGAATCAAAAAGAATGAAGAATGAATAAATGCGAATTTTAAGATGCTTTTCTACTTTGTTTCAGCTTTACTTTTTCAATATTTACAAAACATCACAGATTAAAAATATTTTGATAACATTCAAACTCATTTATTCTCACCGTACCTAAAAATTGTTATTGTTACGAGATATGAGTGCGTAATAACTCATTTAACATCTTAGAGAACTAATATAAATAAAGTTAAGTGTTCGCGCAAATAATCTTGGAGAATAAATATTTAATATTACGTTTTCAAAATCCGTCCAAACACGTGCAACAATCGCCAAAGCATATATAAATTTACACAAGGTTTTATAAGAAAAATTGGCTCGTCTGGAATGGGCGTCAGGGCACAATGGTAGAATCCAAACAATGTATAAAATCACATCGAACATATATTGAATTCGATTCTAAAAGCACAATAAATAAAGCAGCGCGTTTCTGCAAAAAATCCGTTGGAATAAAAGCGTCGCAAATGCTCACAAAATCTTAACACACAAGTGACCCGCAACAGCTAAGTAAATAGACCGATGTCCTGGCTTTTTTATTCACGAACCTATAATTTATTTTGATCCTGGCGTTCCTTTGTAAATGTTTAATATTGGAAATAATTTGGGACATCTTTAGTGTGAAATGATTATATTTAGAAAAGAAACATATGGTTTGTTGAACACAATTCTTCCAAATTTTAGCTACAGTAACAACAATGAAGGTGACAATTATAATAAAAAATTGTGAAAATTGTTTTAAATTCACTTACCGACTTCAGCTCAGATCTTGCAATTGGACTAATTTGAAGCATGTGAAATCTAGATAGTAGTTGGCTCACTAAAAATTCCATACCTATAAGAAAAAATTATGTATTAAAAATTAAATGTTTAAAACACCCGTTTTATGCGACCTGATATCATGCAGTAGTAAAATCGGTTTTCACTTGAAAATATGCATCAAAAACCTGTTTTCATACGGAAACCTGTTTTCATATGGAAACATATTTCCATGGAAATAGCCATCATACAGAATAGAATACAAAAATAAAAACAACTTATGTATTTAATTAATCAGTCTGTCAAATGTTCTATGAATATTTAGAACGTAAAATATAATATTAGAAATTAATATATATTTTAATATTAAAAAATTAAAAAATTGTTCTTAACTATAGAAACAAAGTTGATCGACATCCAAATGATTGCCAATTTCAAATCCACCTGGTTGCCAATCATTACAAAACCACGCATAATAAAAGACTTGCGAGAACTTATTTATTAGATTTATTACAATAGTCAATAATATATAATTTTAGTCTAGAGTACATGTGTATATAATTTTATGTTAAAACTAGAGCATAGCATTTTTCTAGTAACAAAACCAAAATTAGATATATAGAACACAACTAAAAGACGATAATTTGGTTTTCCTATGAAAGGCCACAATAAAATAAACTAATTGCTCAATGTCTTCCTATAGACATATTGTATTTTATATGAAAATAAATAAAATCAAATATAAAGAAAATGGTATTTGTAATTGAATACGTTTCATTAGATTTAGAAAATAATATGTTAATTTAGAAAAGATTTCAATTATATCTGGTAATCAGAGAAGGTGTGCACTTGTATCAATATATATCAGTAAAATTGGATTTCATTTTTGTCGATGATCTAATAAATAATATTATCTAAATTTTTATTATATTAATATATTTCAGAATATAATAATGTGAATTTTCAAATTGCTTGTAAATTTCCATTTTTTGCTCTTTTCATAGTTCTTTTATACCAAAAGTAATTATCGTGCAATTATTTTCGTATGGTATAAAATGTAACTGTTATTACTTAATATTTTATATCAAAATTTAATTAAGATATAATTTAGTACATTAATAAAAGGTGAACCACTGGGGTTTTCTTTTAAAATTCTATGTTATTTGGCAAACTAATTGCTCAATGTTTTTCTATTTAGACAGATTGTAATTTATAAGAAAAAAAAATCTTAATATTTAATGATCGTAATCAATCGAATTTTCATCGCTGTTTGGAATTTCTTGACATCGATTTATTATTACCTTACGCTGCTTTATATCTTCTACAACAGAATCACTAATCAAAATTAATAAGATCAATAATGATATGTTTCGGCCGATGCATAGTGCAGTGTTCTATTAAAAGAATTCAAATTGCTTGTGGTAGTTGGATCTAAATATTACGTAATCACATGAATACTTGTTATTTGATGTTAACGGAACAAAAGACAACACCGTACTGACAAAATTCAATAAATAGTAGTAGCCAAAATATGTATATAAATGCTGTGGTTTTCAAACATTACTGAACTGGAAAAATAACCTTTATTAAAACTGCACTGCGTGGAATGTACCGTATAGGATTAAAACGTCAATAATCAATTAAAAATTATATGCTTGTAAGAAAAATGATACGTTTATAACTTATTATGAAAGTTTGAAATATAGTAACAAAGAACAAACTTGAGTAATTGAATTCATAATGATTTTAATGTGTTCTATTATAAAATAGAATATCTTGGAACTTCACGATAGTTTTTATTTATTAAGTATAATGATGGAAATAACATACCGTAGATCGCTTAAGTTACACTTCATATATAAAATATAAATTATTAAGTTTTTAATTTATATATATATATATATATATATATATATATAATAGGTTGTCAAATATCTCCCTTCCGCCTTTTTGTATTATAAACCAAGAGCAAAAAAGCGGAAGGGAGATATTTGACAACCTAATATATATGCACCAATTTCATCATGTAAATTCTAAACGTCAGTAAATTTTTTGGTTGTACTTACAATGTTTAAATTGGAAGCCAATCCATTGATTGATTATGGTACATATTCAATACAAAGTTAAAATTGTAAGACAAAAAAATAAATCTATAGAAAACTTTAGGCCAGATTTGAATAAACTAATTTATTTTATAAATCAAATATTTGATCATTTTATTTTACATTAACATGTATGTAAGAAGCAAGACCAGGATGTCACAATACATAAAATTTATAATAACCTGAAACCGAAATTATTTTTTTTGACAAATAGTTAAAAATGATGTAAGTCGTGCATATATATAAAAGTTACAACATATTATTTGATTTAGTTTAAAAATAATTCTTTGATAGTTTTAGAAGCAACCACTAATATCAGGACGGCTGGTTTGGCACTTGGCTTGCCATCCATACCAAGCACTAAATCCATGACGATTGTAGATCAACTTGGCACAGGTTGAGGCTCTGCTGATATCATCGGTGAGCAAATCTGGAAACATATTTTAGTAAAACATTTTTTTTCTATATATACAGTAAACCCTCGCTTTACGCGGCAAGTGCGTACAGTGCAGTATGGGAACCGTGCTATAAGAAACTCGTATTTAACATACAATTCAGGCTAATTCGTAGTGCGTTCTATGGAACCTTACATAGTGCAGTATGGGATCCGTGCTATGAGAGACTCACAGTTGGTACAAATCGCACCATTTTTATCGCGCTGTATGGAGACCAAGAAATACAACTTGAAGTAGGAGTAATACGGACGAAATGACATGTAGGGTATTGACACGATTGACACCTTATTCAAAAATTGGCGCGACGCAATAGTCAGTTCAATCGTGTTCTTAGGCAGCTATTATATAAACGGGCATGTCTAAAAGATAAAAATCAATAACAAAATTTACATCAATACCCTTTTGCACAACGAACTTATGGGCTGTAGACCAAATACCGTGTAATAAGAAGTCCGTGTAGTCGGAGGGATGTCGGATTTTTAGCTCCGTGTAGTATGGGAACCGTGTACCCAGAGTGCCGTGTAAAGCGAGGGCCTACTGTATATATATTTAAACAGCTATCAAAACCATGTGTTTTATATGCTATTGTAAAGTACTTCCTTAAACTAGTGTTTCTAGGAGGTTACGGAGTAGTTGCCCATTCTCGCTTTAAGATGAAATCATGGGGTCAATTTTTCGGATAAAATAGAAATTTTGTGTTACAAGACTGTTGTGTTAAATAATCGTTTGAGTTGGTAGTCTCAAACTGTCAAAAAACCATGTATTTGTTGTACTATCGAGTGTTTTGTACATAAGTAAGTAAAGATAAAGATTATGTGGTTTCACAAACAAAACCTAGCCTCCAATTGGCACAAGCACAAATAACAATTTTATCATAAGAGCAACTTTTTGTTGTCACTTTGATAACAAATACGAGAAGTTAATATTCGTTTGTACCTTTTGGAGGTTAAGTTTTGTGTGTGAAACGCTCGATCGAACAGCAGAGACAAAGCAAATTTTGACAGTTGATGATTACCAACTTATATGTTTATTCAATATAAGAAACCGTAACATAACATTTCTATTTGATACAAGATTTTATCCCAATATTAAATATATTTCTAATAGTGATCAAAATAATTCTTGCAGAAATACCCCGGAGGTCTATGTTCACTTGAATAATATTTTAGATCTATATTCTCAAGTAAAAATATGATATCACAACTGCCTGTTATCAAGCTGACCGAGGCGGGTATCTAAGCAGAAGGGTATAACTAGTATAAGTTGAACAAATATTATTTACAAAAAAATATGAAAATAAAAAAATAAATATTGACCCACAAAATAAGAGAAAAACTGGGGTGTCCTACCACTTGGTTCCAATCAAAATACGGAAAAATCTGTTTAAGGATATACGTAACAGTTTTCCACATTTTCACTAAAAACTAAAAAATGAGTAGCTGAAACAGATTCAAACACAGCCAATTATAATTGTAATTATAAATAAATTAATTATTTGTCTTGGATGACAATAAGTTAAGACATGTAAAAAAATAAAGATCTTCAAAATCTATTCTTTCCATATATTATGGTAATCGAAATGTTGAAGGTTTATATCAGTAATAATTTTACTGTTCTACAGTTTTGAATAAATGATGAGTAAGTAATATTAATAAGTATTATTGGTCGTGTACAAGTTCTTTTACTTAGCACGAAGTTTTATTTGCTATAATATCTATAAGTACCTAGAAGACACGCTGCTGGGTTTAGCTACCATCTTCTGGTTTATATTGTAAGATATTTATTGTTAGCAATCTCTGCTTAATGTTAATGCTCATGTAAAACAGATTGCAGAATAAATTAAATAAAAAAAATAATATCTATAAAGATTACCTTCACATGATACATTGCAATCTTTTCCTGGAGCACCATTTTGGCACCAATATTTATTATTGATTTGGAAAAGTCCATAGTCTCTGGATCCGTCGTTGTTTGGTGGACCAACGGCGGCAGTGTTGCCGGAGCTTTCGGCTTCCACCAAGCATACCCCTAAGACATTTTTTATATAATATTTTTCCAATATGTAAATTATTATGAACATAATTATTAAAAACAATCATCTTAAAGTTTATCAGTACATCTCAAGTTCCTATAAATACGGTTTTAAGACAGATAAATGATTTGTAAAGTGACGATGAAACTAAATAAAAAAGTCTGGCCAAATATAAAAAAATCAAGACAAAATCCCACGTAGAACGTAGTGTTGTCAATATATGAATTATAAAAACAATTAGAAGAATTTGAATCCTATAGGCAAATATCGTGACATTTAAAGAAAAAGTAAAAAACTGCATGCAGAATCAGTTACCTACTGAAAATGAAAATGGTTGTACTCCAATTTTACAAATTATATTTAGTCTAAAGATTTAAAAATAGAACAATAATAAAATAACAATCTAGATTTAATAGTTTCATCTTTTCACAAAGTGAAGTACATACTTACGTCGTTTGATATTTATCAGTTTTACTATGAAAATATATTTAACCTAAACTACATAGATATCATCGTGTTTTGATTTGATAACATGCTACCGTAAATTATTTTACTATCACAATCATTGTTTTAGATATAATATTTGCATAAAATTATCATATCAGTTACAATCAGTACTACTTACAATGATCAAGTAAATCTCTTGGAAAACCTTGTCTTGACAACTCTTGAGCAATTTGACATCTGGTAAGGATTCTAGCTTCGGCACAAGTTGCTGCCAAAGCAATTGCAAACAAAATCAAAAGTTTCATTTTGTATTTATTAAATGTTACACACAAACTGTAATCACTTTTAACACTAATTGGCGACACACACTTAACTTATATATCCCGCGGATAGAATCCAGATAAGATAAAATTGTTCAATAATAATGTTGTCAAAAACCAGTAAATAACTTTTTATCAACTAGTTAATTATCAATCACACTTCGATAATCGATAAAAATAATATTTTTTGTTCTTTGTTTTAGAACAACAAGTTCAGAACCGACAGTTCCATATGCTGTTGTGATTAATTCTTAACCCTGGCTGCTACCAGGCTTTGAAAAGGCAAATCAATGGTTGATCTATCCATTTGATGTATATTTTATTCAAATGCAACCCCATCGCTATCCTTCTAATACCAAAAATATATCTTAACTTATTTTAGAAATAACTAAATAACATATACTAATAAAATAGGCTATTTTGCATTGGAGGCATATTTTGATATAAAATGAATGACACTACACTAGATAGCAAAATCCGGATTTAAATGAAAATGGCCATAATCGCCACGAATCTATTAAAACACTATTTAATAGTAAAATGTGTAATTATAAAATTTCATTAGTTTTGCTTTTGCCTTGCAGACTTGTCTTTATAAATTCAAAGATTTTCAGACAATAGGATTTATTTGTTTTTATTTTATGAGAATGAGACGAATATGGAATATAAAAATTGACGTTTGTTTTAATAAATATAATAATTTCAATCCATGTTGAAATGTCTATCATTAACTATACTGTAATGATCCTGGACAATATACTCTAATTGATACTACTAGCCGATATTATTATATTTGTTCATACTCCAATATCTGAATAATGTAGTAAATTTAAAAAAAAGTTCTATTCTATAGCATACCATCATTTCTAATCAATGGAAATGATTGTCAAGTATATTTTTCGAAGTGTTGTAATAAAATAGTTGTTGTCGAATTGAAGATGGAACGTTTCCACCAGAAACATATTCTATTTACGACACTTACATATTTCTACTAATGATACTATTTACTCCTAATTATATGAAATACTTTTATTCACTCAAGAATTGTTCATTTGATTCAAGCTAGGGTTTGTCGGTTTTCAAAAACCTGTTTTGAAAACCGGCTTTTTGACGAAAATTATGAAATTCGAAAACCGGTTTTTTAGCGAAGAAAATCGGTTTTTGCTGTATGAATGGATGATGACAAATATACTAGATGGAAGCAAGCGTTTTAATACTTGGAAACATATCGGTTCGATAAAATTTGGAATTATATCAGTCTGTTAAAGTTCTCAGAAAGGTTTTGTGTTAGCTTTTGTCTAATGTATATATCAATTTATATTATTATATCAATGTATATATTAATTTAGATCAATATGACTTCTTGTTGAAGGAGTAAATTGCACTACTCAAACATTAAAATAAAAGTTTTTAGCCCTAGAAGCCACAATTAAAAAAAGACCATTTTCAGAATGATTATATAACGCTTTAAAAACGATTAAGCCTAGTTTGGTTGTAAGTTAGAGAATATTTTCTCGGGGTTTTGTTTAATTATTTTTAGAATTAAAATTGACATTAACAAGTATGTATCAACATGTATCTATTTTTTTTATTCAATTAAAAGTTAGTTTTTTACTTAAAAATGTATTATTTTTATTTATTCGAACTCTTTTCTTTCACTATTTAGAAAATATTTATATTCTCATATGTAAAAATTATGCATGAATAACGAATAATCATTTTCTAATTTATTTAATCCAGATCAACTATTATTTCTTTGTTCCACTAATAAAAATTAAAATAAATTCATAAAATTGAACATTAAATTATATATTATTCATAAAATTGAACATTAAATAAATAAATTCAGTCAAAATCTGCTTTAAATCGCACTAAATTTGGGGATAAATTTTTGTTTCTACAGAATATTCGAGCAAAAATTTATTTTCTATATATAATTCGAAAACCGGCTAAAATCGGTTTTCTGGTAAAATTAAAAATTGAAAACCGGTTTTTGTATAAACATAAATATATATATATATACTTATATATACACGATCGTATGATAGATCAAGAGGTTGCAATCTGATAATGTGAATCCAAAAAAGCACGCCTATCTACCTCCGATTGATATCTTTTTCCGCATATAAATAATATTTGGCAAGTAATACGTGTTAGGATATTATGTGTGTTGATAATACTATTAAAAACCGTGTAGAGACTTTTCTATTTAAGTAGTCGTAAAACGTGTTTTTAGTCGTGAGAAAGCGATAGTGACATACTATAATCCTCGACGTGCTGGATTAGTCAAAGCTACTTTGTACAATATCAGCTGACGGTAAATGAATTCGTTGCAATAAATTTTAAAGGGGTACTCAGATCGAATCCCGATCGAGTACTATACACAAACAGAACTAGTGGTGCATGGCATCGTGCCTTAAGGCAAATTGCTGGAATATTCCGTACCGTAAATTAAAGTTTTTAAAAGCATTAAATTTTTTTGAAAACTTTGATAAAACTAAATTTGAGAATATTGAAAGTTTTGAAAAACGAATTTTTTTTGCAAAATTATTTTTTTTTATATTGATATTTTTAAAAATTTAGTTTTTTTTTCTTGAGAGCAGTCGAGCAGTTTTTGACGACGAAAAGTTGTATCCGCACATACATGCATTCTTACATACATACATAAATACAACCATTTTTTCTAAGGTAGGCATGCCAAAATGTTCAGAAGGTTTGAAACGTGAAGATTTATTAGAACCCTTAGCTAATACTAAAGAAAGTTAAAAATTATTTATACTTTTAAATTGTCAAGGATAAGTTGTTAGTTGTTAGTTGTTAATTTAAAAAAAAATAAAAAGATTTGCAAAAAAATTGAAAAGAAAACTGACGAGAAGAAAACACTTCACGACTCACGAGCAATCCACGGAAAAATAAAAAAAAACAAATTGAATTAAAATTAAGTTTTGAATTAATATTGCTATAATTAATATTGCACTTAAAATCATATATTAATAAGATAAAAATTAGACTTTGTATTTAAATATTTAACAGTTGTGAGTACAGTCCATCTTCCCGTAATTTAGAAAAATAATCAATCTAGGGTGGTATTCAATCTTACTATGTGAGAACTTAATTTAGCATATTAGAAAAGCTAATTAGGCAATTAAACAAATTACTATACTTTTTTCAACATTATTTTAGGTGATATGAAATGTTCATTATGAGATGTACTTCATTGATAATACAGTGCAAGTGCTTCAAATGTTTTTTTTAAATTAGCTATTATAAATAAATATACTACAAGTAACATACGGTGAATTATCGCAATCTATTTCTAAAATTAATATATAGATAAAATATAATCATTGGAAAAAAAACACAATATCAACAATACAATAGATTTTATTTTCTACATATACGTATCAAAAAATTATCTAATTTGTTTCGCAGGTGAATTACAATTTATCTGTTTCATAAAGACAATTCAACATTAATAGAAATATTTGTTTTGTTAGTTGTTACAGATGACTATCAGAACCCAACATTAGCTATGAAATTTTTAAATAGTTCAAAAATTGATATTTTTGGCTCAACTTTCATCGCAGAAATGCCACAAAAGACTATGTCCAGTGAGAAACATATTTTGGCCAATAATAAAAAATTGAAAAATTTCAGGTTCTGTCACAACACTAAAAAATTACGTACTGAACAAAATAATAGTATCACCTTTTGTTATTACTTTGCACTAATTTTTATTATTTTAAAACGTAAGTAAGAATTCGATGGTTCTATTAGATATTTAGTTTTTCGCGAAATTTATATTGGTATTATTTTTTAGACAAATCCATGTTTTGATATTTAGTTAATTGAAAACTTGCTTTTATTTTATCTTATTTGAATTAAATTATGAGAATCTCTATGCATTAATAATATATCAATCTAAAAACATATTTACATATTTAATTATGTATATATTTCAAAATTGATTTTTTTCATTTAATTTAATGAACTGTTGAAGGTTTTATATTATTTTATTTGCATTATTTATTATTTCCAATGTTTGTGTTATTTCTCTATTTATTTAATACATTAATGATTATAGTTTTTCAAAAGAAAGTTTAAGAGTAGATTGTTACATAGAACGAAATGCGTAGAAGGAATCACAAAAATTCAATTTACGGCCATATTTCATTATCTAATTGTAAGTATAAAATATGGCATAGCTCTTGTAATTATATAATGCAACATAGTTTACATTACAACGCATATTTACATACATTTTTGTATGCATTTGTGCACATATATAAGCCAGGACAAACAAAAGTTTATAATAGTGTATCTTCGCGAATTATTCGTAACTATACATTTCTAAAAAATTAAAACTATGGCCAAGGCAAAAGTATTCACAAGATGCGAGTCGGCCCAAGAATTACTGAAACAAGGTTTTGAGAAGAATTTATTGGACCATTGTAAGAATTTAATCAATATATATATATATATATAATTATAGTAAAAGAGTTCTATCAACTTTCATATATTTCATTCAATGTATATGTCTAATCATTTTCATATTTGGTTTATAAATTTTGTCCCTAAACACTCATTGAATTTGATCAAATCATTTTAAAACTCAAGTGTAATTTCAATATTTCTTTTTAACTTCCCGGAGAGCAAGTTATAGTAATAGCAAAAAAAATCGAAAATAAAAATGTTTATATATCTTTACGTTTCAGAGGTTTCTGAACATTTTGGCATACCTTAGAAAAAATGGATGTGTGTGTGTGTGTGTGTAAGTGCGTGTATGTGTGTGTGCGGATACAAATTTTCGTCGACGATTTCGGGAACACGAACGAAGCGATTTGAATGATTCAAAAAACATTCGACAGGTCAAGCCGTTCCGAAGATATGGGGCAAAAAGTGCCAAAAACGGTAACCCAGTTTTTAAGGGAACGGAGCGTCCGATTTGAATAATTCAAAAACATTTTACTTGTATGAACAAGATGAACAACCAATCAAATTTTTATGAAGGCAGGTCTAGCGGTTTTTGGAGATCTAGTAAAAAAAGTAAAAAAACGCCATTTGGCGGTCAAAAACGATCATTAGACATATGCACATCAAGTTATCAGATATTTTATAGAAATTTTAACAATACGTATAAATTTTGTTTACATTCCTATGGGTTCCGTACCAATGTTTATCCGTTAGACGGCGACGCGTCGCTTACGCGCTTCGATATTTCGTCTCTATGCAGTTAAAGCAGTACGATTACTTTGAAAAAAAGTTCCAAAATATTTCAAAATAAATTTTTCTTCAAAAAGTCTTTTTTTTAAAAAAAAAAGTAAATTTTTGTCAAAAATTTATAGTTTCTCAAAAATCTAATTTTTTCAGAGTAATTTTTTTTTCAAAAATGTTAATCTTTTAAAAAAAAATTTAGGAAGTTCCAGCAATTTGCCTTAAGGCACAATGCCATGCGCCCCACTAGTTTATTTATGACTTTTGACCGGATGGTCATTTAGCTCCTTGTTACAGAGTTTAGAAATACATAACTTCATCAAATTAAATCGTGGAATATTTATAGTATGTAGTAGTAACAAATTCTGCAAAATTTTATTGAAATTATTAGACTTTTACCGTCACTTAAAAACTAGTAGTGTAACGTAAAATTTATTACTAATTTAACCGTTTCGAAAACACGAGTCAAAAACCAAAAGATTGGCAGTTCAATTTTGAGAAAACGAAGTGTCCAATTTAAATGATTCAAGAAACATTTTATATGTACTGATGAAATGTAGAACTCAAGTGAAAAAATGCCATTTGGCGGTCAAAAATGATCATTAGTCATACGCACATCAAATTAACAGATATTTTATAGAGAGGTTAATAGTAAGAATTTCGTTTACATTTCTATCCGTTTGTTTCTATTCGTACCAATCCATAATATTGCAACGTAGCGCTTACGTGCTTCGATATTTTGTCTCTAAACCACCTACGCAACGCGATTTTTCAAAAAAAAAAATTAAAATTTTTCAAAAAAAATTCAAAATACATAATTATCTTAAATTTTTTTTTAAAAAAGTGAAATTTTCCAAAAAAAATTGTTCATAAATATCAAAATTTACAATTATTTAATTTTTTCAAATTTTTCAAAAAATTTAAAGCATTTTTAAAAAATTAAATATTTGGTACGGGAAGTTCAGGCAATTTGCCAAGGCACGATGCCATGCACCATTAGCTATATATATTTTTTAAGTCTATAGTATATACTACTACTATATGTACTATAGACATATTATGTACTATATAGTATATCTATAGTAGAGACTTTATACGTTTCAGCTAAAGTTCAAGGTTTTATTCAAGCATTTTTTAGTAATAGGGTCTTTTTATTAAGGGTTTTTTTAATGATCTAAATAAAGCTGTTATAAAACTGGCATTCATTGTAAAAGAATATACAGATTGCTATTTTACAGATCTCATTTTTCAACGAATCTGATAATGTCCTGTTATAATCGGTTTAGTTGTTTTTTCGTAATTATCAATTGAAATTATAATTGATTCTTGTACAGTGGTTTAGAATTAGTTTGGTAAAATCGTGACAATGTACAAATTTCACCAGGTCAATAAAATATAAATAATTCTTAAAATGTAATTTTGCTTTCGCTACGAGAGTATTTTCCGCAGGAGTGTCGCTGCTGTACGGGAGCATCGTGCACTACAGGCACAACCATATTATTTTAAGATATTTTTATTATTATCAATGAAAATGTATAAAAGCTAAAAATTACGCTTTTAATGAACTACAAATTACAATAAAAAACTAGAAATCTCTAACTCATAGTGAAAAATCTTGAAGCAAAGGTAAACACAACATGTCGTCTAGGGACGACATCCGTATCGAAAGGGTTAATAACATAATATGTCTATATTGTAAGGTTTTAGATTTGTAAGTACTTGATTGATTGAAAATCCAACATTGACTTATATCTAATTGTATTTTATAATTTTTTTATTTAGGAGTATGTTTAGTCAAAGTTTAAAGTTCTTGTTCTAAACAAAGATTATCGGGAATATTATTTTTGTAGCATGGAGATTTAAAATAATTATTTTTAATTACAAAAATTAAATTATGTCTATCATCTTCAAATTACTAATTAAAGACATTTTTACGTAATTAGATTTAATCATTTGTTTTGATTAAAATTTAATTATTGATTAGTATACAATCGCGCGGAAATCACCAAATTTTGATTTCATCATATTACCTCCACATAAAAGAAGACCAACATGTATATTTAATCAAAAGATTGCATATACTGTATTTGTCTAATGGCTTATCTAATCTTATTGTTTTGAATGCCTATATAAACCAAGATGCAGAAAAACTAATTATAGTGTTTTAACATAAATTACCTTCTTCGTTTCATATTTGTCACAAAAAAATTCAAAATGAAAATTGTTTTATTTTTTGCCGTTGCACTTGTTGCAACAATGGCTGAAGCCAAAATTTTCACAAGGTGCGGACTTGCTCAAGAGTTATTAAAACAAGGGTTCCCTAAAACTAAATTGGATCATTGTAAGTAATAATTATTGAAGTGACATATTTTACCTTTTATAATTTTCATTTCATATTATCATATTTCAACTATGTTTTTGAATTTAATATTTTATTTCAACTGTTGATTATTTTCAACTACACTAATACTAATAATTTATTAGTAGCGTGTTTCATTTTCAAATTATTTGTAGGACAAAGTAAGCACTACATTTTTCTTTACATATTATCAATTTATTAAAATTATTGCAACGATTTTGTTAATGTATTCAAATTATCAGTTTTTTTCAATTTTACTTTAAATTTACTATTTTTGTGTAGGATGGTATGTTTGCTACATGTTCTTATTTCTTTTTTAATCCATTGCTCTGAAAGGGGGTCAAAGAGCAAGAAACGCCTGTAAAATAAATAATAGTTTTTTTTCAAAGTCATTTAATTGTGAACATAATAGATTTGGGAGGGTTTAGCGGAACTTAAAGGTGTACTACTAATATCCGAGAAACAAGTGAAGTTAACTTTTTAACATTATTATTTTAGTTTTTTTTTGTTTGTGAGTACTGTTCTTTGGTTTACAATAGTTTAATACAAACGTTGCTTAATTGTTTTAAAATAGGTATTTTGTAATTTTAAGTTAGACTCAACCGTTTTCTTATAGAATCTTTATAAAAGCTTACGTGCGGGTGACATAAAAAGAACCAACTTAACCTTTACCCTTGTTACAAGATTTTACAAGAAATAAATTAAGTAAATAGTTATTCTGACTCTGCTGATAAATATTTCAGACAAAATACCAGATCAAGGTTATATACAGTGTTATCTCTGTAAACAATGTACCCATGAATCTTATATCTTGCATTGGTTAATTGATGTAGCTACAATTTTGTAAAATACTTTCAAAATTAAAAATAAGACATTGGACCTGTTTGCCCCCTGACCGGCTCATTTTATCCCGTCTGTGGGGTAAAAAGTACCAGGTTACAAATTTTTGAAAAACAGCGATCAAACACATTTCTGGAATGGTGAATTAGCTGGGATTTTCACTGAACATAGTCGGATAGTTGTTTGTTTGATATTTTTGTTTATTTGCTGTGATATAATTGGTTTAGTTTTCACAATATAATTGCTCAAAATTAAATTGGACTTTTGTGCATCGTTCTAAGCTTAAACAGTTGTACTGTTTTACATCCCAAAATTGCTACTGAAGAATTCATAATAATAAACTTATTTTGGAAAATGCGTAATTATTTTCAAGAACCTGAACAAATAATTTTAAAAAGAAACATTTACTGACCATTTTTTTATTTTTTGTATTTTAATAAAATTTTAGGGGTATGCTTGGTGGAAGCTGAAAGCTCCCGCAACACCGCTGCTGTTGGTCCAGCAAACAGCAACGGATCCCGCGACTACGGACTTTTCCAAATCAACAATAAATATTGGTGCTCAAATGGTGTTGCTGGAAAAGATTGCAACGTCAAATGCGAAGGTATACTTACTTAAGGGGGGCGATACATGTAACACGAAAAAAAAAATCGAATTTTTTTTTTTTCATAAATCGTTACAATAATATCTCAAAAATATGCCTGTAAATATTCAAAACAAAATTATCATTATTTATACAATAAAAACTCATTTAAGTGCCACGCCTCAACTCTTATCTGTTCTATGTGTCAAAACTTTAAACGCGTTTTTCTCAAAACGACATTTTTGAAATTTGCGGGCGGGATAACTCAAAAAGTTCTCAATCGATTCCAATGAAATTTTGCACACATCTACTTTACAGTAATAGCTTCTAGTTAAACCTCAAACATTCCAAAAAAATTTTCAAAAATTAACCCTTTTACCAAAAAAAAACATTGAAAAAAAGGTGAAAAATCGAACTTTTTTTCTGAGGTGTGCCAATTTGCGATTTTGTGACTTTTTTAAATTTTTTTTGGTTTAACTAGAAGATATATGTTTTATGAACACGTACAAACTAATTTTTTTGATTTCAAATCACCGCACGAAAAGTGAGAACGCCCGCAAATTGATGGCGTTTTCCGAGAGGGTCTTGGCAGATTTATTTTTACGGCAGCCATTTAAAAAAAAAAAATTAAAAAATTTTTTTTTTTGTGTATTTTAATATATAATAAATAACCCTAAAAAAGTTCAAAAAGATTCAGTCATTCCTTCCTAGTTTAAAAAGTCCTCAAAAAATGGTAAAAATTAAGGCGATTACATGTATCGCCCGTAATTATTAGCAAATTGAATTATTTTGATACATGCAACGCAAAGTTAACGGAGAATAGTTGTCTAATGTGACTTCTCCTATTTCTAGATCTGACCACCAACGATATTACCAAGGCCTCCAAATGCGCTAAATTGATCTACCAACGTCATGGCTTCACAGCTTGGTACGGATGGCAAGCCAAGTGCCAAACTACCCGCCCCAACCTCAGCTCCTGTTTCTAAATAACAATGACAACGGCAAATTATGATTTTTCTGTCTGATGAACAATTACGAATATTTTACTACAATGTAGTATTTAATTTAATAAATAAATAGAAAATGCAAAATATTTACTTGGTTTCATGCTGTTCTGCGAATTTTCTGTACAATCATTACCGTATTGATATTCGCCAGTTATTCATAATTCATAAAATACTAAAATTTTTATTGCAAGCAAAAAGAAAAAAAACAGTGCGTATTACGTTCAAAGCAATAGTTATATCAAGTATTGCGATTTTTTTAATGTATTTTAGACTTCAGACTTGAGAGACCTAAGAGCTCTTATGATAAATTACAAACAACATTTATTTTTTTATATATGGCGGCAGCCCAAACAGTTGTCCCATCACTATGTGATCAATTTGAGTATTATATTTTCTATAATATTTGAATGGATTTTGTTGATTTTTTTATTGATGTTATTATTCCAAGTGAAAACCGATGTCACTACTACTCGAGATCAGGCTGTTCGAGTATCGAATCTCTGATTCAGATCCCTTCGCTTTAACCACTTACCTAGCTTTACTAGCAATGAAAAATTAAGTAAAAATTAAATTCTTTAAATATTTATTTTTGTGTGCAACAAATAAAGTACACAAAAAATGAGGATTACTTTAAGCGAATAGTAATCATAAGGTTAATAAATTCTCTTTCAGATGATTATTCCAGCAAAAGAAACCATTAAAAAAGCAAAATATTAACAAAAAGTAAATATACAACCATTAAGTATGAATAAAAGCAAAAATACGAGATGAGTCAATTCATAACCGAACTCAAGACGTTCGGCTTTTTAAAAATGAAAAATTATTAAATACTCAAATTTCCACAACAATACTGTGCACCCAAACCATGAAAGGATTTCTATGCCATTAAACAATTTCAATATTTTGGAATTCCGAGCTTCAAAATGCGCTACATAATGGTGCATTCAAATGATTTTCGAATAAATTCAAATAAATTCGTCTCGTGCGAGGGAGCAACAATAAAGAATAGAGAATTAGTTCAGGCGGGGGCAACCTGAATGGCTTAGTCGAAATAGTGGATAAGCATATTAGATATCGAAAGGCCTGAAATTAGATTTTTTTCTTTAAAGCCCGAATGTTAACTGTAAAATGCAGCTATATTAAAAAAATATAATAAAATGCAGCGGTGTGTGAAAAAATTAAATGAATTAAAGTCAGAGAAGACGTTAAATTTCCTTTATCAAATAAAATTGTTTAGATTGAAATTTATAAAATCTTAAGAGGCAAAACTTCATACAAAAAAAAATTCCATACTTTTCAATATGCGATCTTATCATTGTAAGCGAGTTTTTATCAATATATAATTATCAGTAGTTATATTATTCAAATTGGAAAAAAATATTATAGATACAATAAAAATAATTGGCTCTAGTATATAACGCTAAATCTGTCGGTAATTATGATTTAATTAGTGATTGCAATTGTAATGATTTTAACAATTTTTTGAGAGAGCAGATTTAGTTTATGAGTCCGTCGCAAATGTTAGAAATTGTGTACTCATCAACACAGATTATATACATAATTGATCAAAATTTTAACTATACAAAGCACACACGCATATATTTTATAACAAGTAGAGTTTAGGTTGCTAATCTCTGTTTGCCCTCTATTTCATGCGGGTCGTATGTATTTCTAAATATGTCAGACTAATCCTTAACAATAACAAATGTTTGCATGAGCGCGCAATAGTACAAAACGCCCAAACTACAAAACGAAAATATTCCACATCAAATGTTAGTAGTCCCATTCCTCTCTATCCTGAACCAGATGACATGAAAAAAATGGTAAAACTGCTTTCTTGCCTGAAGCGATTATTCAAAGGCATTTCCTGTGAGGTTGACCAAATTATTTGTGGCGATTGAACCCTAGAATGTGATGGATTTCGAAGGATTCGTTAAAAGGACTGCGCATTCTAAACGTCTGCTTCAATAATCTCCACACACAGTATTGTTAGGGCACGTATAATGGAAATTGATCTTTATCTGTTGCTAGAGAACAGAGATTAAGTTTAGAATGGTTTTTCGTTAGAAACCTACTCACAAACACCTTAGCAAGAATACTGCATCATCACATTCTAAGCGATAATTTGATTTTATCTAATAAATCTCAAGATCTTGAGTTTAGAATGTGCTGATTTTCATAGCCTGGAAGAATAATTCTTCATAATGTACTACTGCGTGGTACATTCTAGTTTTCAGTGCAGATCTTTTGATAAATTTGTATGGAATATAGGATAGAAGTATTATCATTTGGCCGCCCAGGGGTGGATCTAGGCGTGTCTTGAATGAATTAAATGCGAGAACATGATTCTCTACGTACTTATTACAATAAGAAGAAATGCAGTTAGCAACACCTGCGTTTAGCTCGTTCGATTTATGCATCAGTGCACTTGATCTTTTCTATTCAATGCAACAGGATTGGTATTTATATAAAAAGAATATATATATATATATATATATATATATATAGATATATATATATATATACATAAATTTAATGTTGATGTATCTGTAATCTGACAACTTCTTTATACAATTTAACATCAGAACTTAAATGAGAACCTACCTATGAGCTGTTGGGATGAATATTGTTGATCTTAGATGACAAGCCAACAATTGTCCTACCTCTGCTTGATATATTCTATTATTAAAAATGATCTAACACTAATAATTTTCAATTTTAAGTAGCAAGGGCTTCTGTCACTTGGAAACACATTTCCAACTTATCTATATATTCATGTGAAAACCGATATTACCGCTGCTTGATATCAGGCTGATAAGGTCAAGGTCACGCAAAGACCATAAACTCACCACTAATTTTGGTTATTTTTTATTTAATGAGATCCATGACTTTGGCCTAAAGTTACAAATACACAAATAAAATTTGAAATTGTCCTGAATCAAGCGATTGATAAATACTTATTTAAGTCTTATAATTTATTTGAGAAGGTAGTGATATAGTATGCAATGTGTAATATATCTAGTCTTCCAGTACATAGGGCAAACTTAATATTTTCCTATTAAAAATAATCGTCCAACCCCATTGTTAACAGAATAATCCTCGTAAGCTCCATTACTGATATTATTTGTTACTATAGACCTGCGATGAATACAAATATGTTTTAATATTTCTCATTTCTCGTAAGGAGCAGATTTCAATTCGCAGACTAATTCGCTAGAATAACATATTCCGCCGCAGTAAATCTCTATATTGCCTCGGGATACGTGTTACTCTATTCGAGATTATAATAGAGAACTCTTGGCTTGTTTATTTAGCTGCCGGTCGATTATTACAACAATGTATAATAGAGCGATTTTTGAATTCTATGGAAAGCTTTTTTGGAGCGAAATAAGCGAATGTTAACTGCCATTTAGTTGAAAACCTAAATTCAATGGCATAAGCAAGCTTATGCTTATGTATAAAAAATGGTAGAACTCTCCAATGTCACAATTGCTGTAAAAAACTAATAATTTAAATAATTATGTTGTTTTTCAATTATATGAACAAAAATTGCTTTTCTTAACACATTTTATTATTACGTGCAAATAGCTAAATTTTAATTTTATCTCCCTAATTTGAAATATCAATATACTCATTATAGTAGTGGAGAAACTGGGTATGGATGTGCCACTTTTTTCTTCAGCAATAATTTTGATAATTTACTATTTCGCTGAGAAAAAAGTAAATTAAATGGTAATTTGAATGTTTGTCTACGTGGAAATACTCAAATACTGTCCTTAAATACAATGAATTAGTCATAAAAACAAATTATACAAGAGTAGAGCGAATGTCACGACAGTCCACACCCGAGGGTCGGTTGTGACAGACACAAAAATAGGTTAAAAAATAATAGGTATGAATACCAAAATGGTTTATGACGTCTTTTATTACCAGAAATATGTAACACAACATAATCATTTAAACAAAGCTTATGAACAAAACATATTTTTTTAAACAAGAACTTCTTGTGAATCTTTTGTTTTCTCTTATTGAATTTTCCTTTTCCTTTCTTTTTCGTATTTTGTCTTAGTTAAGTTAGATTTTTCTTTATCTGTTTAAATTTCACCCAAAAAGGACAAAAAGTACGTGCCACACAAAACAAAACTAATTGCTAGTAATTAACCACTAATGTTCAACTTATAACAAAATAATAATGTGATATATCTGCATACAAGAAACAGTTATTATTAAAATGAATCAAACAAAAAAACTTACTTTTGGCCCTTTTAAAGCAATTAAGTCTACAGATTATGTTAACGTAAGGGCGCCGACTAAAAGCAATAATGGTAACTTGTTCAAACAAACTCCAGACATCTTTTTTCAAGTTTTATATTTTATAAGAATTCTAAATTTTGAGTTTACAAAATTCGCTTTATAGTGCAGCAATCATCGTAATAATGTCCTCTTATATTTGTAAAGCTAAATTAATAAAGCGAATTTATCGCTCAACAGGTTTAGTTGTTCTGAACTAGCATAATTAATGTTCAACCACCAGAAAGATTAAGTATCATCCAATGCATGTGATCATTTCCTATTCCTTATAATCTGCCAAATATCGAACAAAAAATAGCCCCATGCCTATGACCAAATCAAATCCTTCCTCGTTTCTGTTTTCATAGTTATTCCCTGTTTTCTTAGGACTATCCCGTTTTGTAAATACCCTGAACTGACATTTCCACGCCGTGAGGTAGATGATTGAGTGTTTGATTCTATTTGGTGTTTAAACCAACTTTGGATATTCATTTTGTTTGTTCTATAAATATAACTTTGCAGATCTAAAGTATATAAATTATTTTACTTTGAGTATTTTTAGGGACAGAGAACTATAAATATTCGAAGAACGAGGATACATAAACATTGGAAGAATAACTTTTCAAAGTTACGTGCTCTGGATTGTTGTTACTTGGTTCTATTTATTTATTTGGTCGCTTACCCTTTAT